TTGGAGCCGCCAAACGCGGCTCCAAAATGGCCGCCGGACTCCCCAATCGTCGCAATGCGAGTGCGGCGATTGGGTGCTCCGTATAGCGATCCCGAAAAAGGGGATCACTATACGGATTCGTCGTTATACGGTGCGCTCGTTAAGCGAGGCACCACTGTACTCTGCATTTTACTGCCAGTGAATGCAATGGACCTGTGGAATGCAGAGTTTCATGGCATTAGGTTATAGGTGAGTTTAAGGACCCATGACAGGGTTGCCCGGTGTAACTGGACACATAACTGCAATTTTTGGTGGCATTTGTGAATTAAACCTACGACTTTAGCTCATAGATATGAGAGTCCCTAACCTGGTGAAGCCCAGATGTTTGAAACATGCTGACTGAGAGTGATGACCGTTACAGTCCAAGAAACCTGAAGGACACCAAGTTGGTGAAGGGTGCCTTGGCAATGTATTTGGCTTTGTACTAAGACCTGGCAGGGTGAGCCTTATCTCTTATTTTCACTTTTAGAAGAGATAGCTGTGTTAGTCTATGCTAGCATAACAGGCCCAAAACAAAAGAAAATGTAAAAAATAAAGAAGGAAGAAACATTGTGGAACATTAAAAACTAACTGCTATAATTTAATGTGAGTATTTATACTGGTGTGAAAGAGTTGATTTGCCCCAGCATTTACTTCTTAAAAGAGCTGAGGTGTTTCAGCTAGTCATCATTTTTGAAGTGAGTTGGTGACAGACACGACAGTAACTGTAGTGCATCTTCTGTTAAGAAGATATCTCTTTAGAAAAGCTTTGGGAATAAAGGTATTTGGTTTTCTGGAACTGCTGCTGTGGAGTGTTCCCTTCTGGCTATATATACTCTTATGTTCCTAGGCCGAGGCCTCTTCTCGATGTATATCCATGCAGAAATTACTGCCATATAGATGGAACCAAAGATTTGATTGCTTTGATAGTTTTGTAACTGTCCTTTTCCAGGGCATTCAGCACAAATATTCTTTCTTGATTTTTAGTAAAGAATAGAGAGTTTGGGTGAGGGATAGGATCGATGTCTCTTTGCTCCAGCAATTGAGAAGGGGAAAAACAGGGAAAGGGAACTGGGTTGCTTCCCCCTCCCTACTTTCTTTCTCTGTGTCCTTTCTAAAGAGACACTACCTGCTTCTCATTTCTCTGGCATTTTCAAAGAACTCAGGAAGAGTAGGCGTGGTTGGTGTTTTGATTGTTGCACTGTGCTTTGAAAATCTTCATGAAATCTTCTCCAAGATCCAGAGGTATTGATGGAGGCCCCAAATAATGACTGCTCAACCTATCCAAGTTTGTGAATTCCTACCAATGTGATACAAATTTGTAAAGCAACTCTTAGAGCAGTGTGAAAATGGAACCAGTTACCTCATGAGGTGGTGAGCTCTCCAACATTGGAGACATTCAAGAAAAAATTGGACAACCATCTGTCACATCTGCTTTGATCTGGATTCCTGCATTGAGCAGGAGGTTGGACTCAGTGGCCTTATAGACCCCCTTCCAACTCAGTTATTCTGTGATTCTGTGAGAGGGGTGTAGGGGAAACAGACATCCATAAATACATCTTCCTTTGTAAGGATGGTCCAGACACACCTTTATGACTGTACTTCCAGGCATTGAAAATCCAAGCTATAATCCGGTGTTCATTGGTAAATCTTAAAGCCAGATTTCCAGGGCAATCCTACTCAAAGGGAAATTGCTTACCCCTGTAGGTAGACAGTGGTAGTTAAAAAATGACTTGTTTGAAAAGTTCTGGTAGTAACATATCTATTACTTTCTCCCCACAAACTACTTCAGAATGGTTTTCCAGCCAGTATGAAACAAATGAAACAATCCCAGGCCCTTAACCGGCTATCACCTTCACTAGAAAGAAAATGTAATGTTTCTCTTTGGACTGCAAAACAAACTCAAACCAGATCATTCTGAAATGTGTTTTGCTTGACGGTTTAACAGAGGGAAATGCAGCAATAATCTGAGATCAGTAAAACAGAATTTCAAGCAAAGCAGATAAAGCTCAGATTTATCCATTGAAAAGAGGCTCTCTGATTCCAGAGCTGGAGAAGTTAATGAGTTTTCATATATGCATTACATTATCATACACACGTGCTCGTACACACACACATCCCTCTCACACATGCACACACGTGCGTGCGTGTGTGTGTGTATCATGTGTGATCAAGTCAGTTCTTACTTGGGGCCAGGGTTTTCTAGGTATAGAGTACTAATAAGTGGTTTACCATTCCCTTTTTATGGGGCTGCCCTGAAACTCTGCTGCTTATCTATGGGTATGAAGAACAGCTACTATGTTTTTTCTGACATATACAGTGGGGTCTTGACTTGAGAACTTAATCCGTATTGGAAGGCGGTTCTCAAGTCAAAAAGTCTGTAAGTCAAGTCTCCATTGATCTACAGTGCATTGAAAACCGATTAATCCCGTAACAGGCCATTTTTGTTCCATTTTGGTTTTTTTCTGGTCTGTAAGTCAAATCTCAGTCTGCAAGTCAAACCTAAATTTTGCGGCCAGAGAAGTCTGTAACTCAAAAAGTCTGTAAGTCAAGCCGTCTGTAAGTCAAGGGTCCACTGTAACCTGAAAGGGATTCAAGAGCATTAACAGAGAAGCAAGTTTTAAATATTACAGATCCTGCTACCTTGCTTCCTGAAAGGAGTCAGATTGTGTGCTTTTGAGAAGAGTGTTCTGAAAATGCATCATAATATTATATATTGGGCAACAACTTAACATAAATTATTGATTTCCTTGTACAGATTTGTTTTACACTATGAATGTTTATTTTGATAGCTATTATTGGGGTGGGCTCTTCATAAGGATTTGGTGAAAATCAGGTCTTTTGGAAAGCTGCAGAGCAAAAGACTGGGTTTGTGATTAATGAAATCAACCAATTACCAAAAGTCTTCCTGACCAGTATCCTGGACAGTTTCAAGTAGGAGATTGACACTTCTGCAGGAAAATAACAACAGAAAACCTGCATTTGCTTTGTAGGAAAAACAAGATTTCCAGGATTTGTCATCAATGTCAGATTGTGTGCTTAGGACATATGTTTTTTGCACAGTACAATTCAACCACCTTGGGCTTCATTAATGGGTGAAGGAATATATTAATTTGTGATGTTTATTTTTTGTATTTTCTGTTGACCAGTTTTGGAAGCAGAAATGTTTAGCAGTACAGACCACTGTGTTTACAATTAGAGATGCTGCATCTTGTAAAATTTGTACTTCTTTGCTACTTCAGTAAAGAGGTTAAAAATAAACTCTATTTAGGAAAGGTTTTAATTGTCCAAATAAAGTATCAGCAGATACAGTTTTGTATTTGGTACCATAAAGAGCTAAATAAGAAGCAAACTGATTAGCACATGAGACCTTTCTGTCTTTATTTTAATGAAAATATTAAAATGAAATATGTGTCCAGTTATTTCTTTAGGATCCCAACTCAAAAGAGTATTTTATACCAATGGAAGGCTTGCCAGAGATACTTAAGTTTGGGAATCTCCCAGAATTGGTTATGGTGGCATTATTGACAGTATAGTTGCAGTTCCCAAGAGAAACAGCCTTCTCAGGATTTATCAGCTGACTGATACGTTGCCATAGTAACCCAAGCTAGGTTTTAAATCTCCCTCAATGCTCAGGAGTTTAAGCCTCTTAGAATCATGTCTCTCTTTTCCCCTCTCTGTACTTCACACCTAACTTTCACACAACAGCAGGGATCTGTGTGTTTATAATGCTGAAGTCTAGTGAAGAGCGCTAACTGGAATGTAGGCAAAATGTGTCCCCTCAGAACCAAAAAGCAGAGTTATCAACACTGTATGGGGTCACCCACCTTGGAGAGAATGACTGACTGGCCCCATGAACCAGAAACACTCTTTCAGGAGGGAAAACACACTGCAAACGTTTGTTGCAAGTTTCAGTGGTATTTATCACAATAAAGAGACATGGAGCTTTGCATCTACCATGGTTGCAGATGCTGATATAAAATTGAAATTAGGAGAGTTCTCATTTGTGGCTTCTTTCTAGTAAGGCAGAGCATTGTCCATGCATTTATTCATCTGTCTCTGTGCACCAGTATCTGCACATACTTGAAGCGGGTTCCTGTATTTAAAACTCTGATTCTCCATAAATTCTGTGCTTGCATGTAGAACTGTGAATGCACTGTATAATGCCCCCAACTTGTCTGAAAACTCCATTGCTTAAGGTCATGGGAGCCATCTGCTGAGAGGGAGAGT